ACAATCGACAATCGTAAAACTGTTATGCGATACTTTAGTCAAAGGTGTGCGCCCGCTCTAAGGTGCGGGGTTTTGCTACAATATTGAAACAAAACGTTACATCACATTGCTACTATAGTCTCGAAAAATCTAGATTAAGCGATTGATCGAGTAATTATTAAACTGTTCTTAATGCAGCTAAACCCACTTATTAAATATAAGAATATAATTACTTCGCAAAGCTGATGAGAAAAGTAAACATAAAAAAATTATACGACGTAATCAATAAAACCATTAACTAAATAACTAGTTTATTCCCGCGACATCATTCGCGCGGATATAAACTTAGTAGCTTAGATATCCAGACTACATTCTGCATCTGTGTCGCAAATCGAGAATCATCAAAACATCCTAACTTTCGCATTTATAATATTACTAGCTTTCGCCCGCGTGGAATTAAAAAATAAAAAATTGATTAACCTATGTGTTCTTCCAGACTATCCTCTACGTCTATACCAAATTTCATCGAGATCAGTTTAGCCGTTTAGGCTACAAACTCTAACGAACATCCATCCATCCATCCATCCATCCATCTAAACTTTCGCATTTATAATATTAGTATGAAGTAAGATGACATATGACATAGTTTGAATATGTATTATTTTCCTCTTATTTACTCTACTTCTACAAAACATAATTTCAAGTTACGTAACCACGCCCGTGCAATGTTACGAAACTAAATCCATGATATAAAGTTAAAATGTATTGATAACGTTCCGTGTCAAGGCTGGCAGCAATTTCCCATAGAACTAACCGGTACCATTACTTTGCCAATAAGACAGTAGACTTACATTTGTATAATTTAATAAAACTATTCTAGTTTTAGGGATCATCATGTAACAATTTAGGTCATACAAATAAATGTAGTTTTATTTAAACTAGCCGTTGCTCTCGTCTTCATCCGCACGGAAAAAAAATAATAAATACAGCCTACTAGCTTTCACCCGGGACTTCGTCCACGTGGAATTTAAAAAAAAATTAAGTAGCCTATATGTTCTTTCAGACTATTCTCTACATCTATACCAAGTTTCATCGAAATCCGTTTGGCCGTTTAAGCTACAAACTCTAACAAACATCCATCCATCAAAACTTTCGCATTTATAATATAAGTATGAAAGTATGAATAGTATGATGTTGGTAAAAGTATTTTTGAAATCGGCCCAGTAGTTTTTGAGTTTTTTCGATACAAACAAAAAGATAAATACAGATTTAAAGGTTGAAAGATATTTTAAAGAACCTTTGAATCGTGCATCAGTCAAATTATGAGTTAAATCATTTCGAAATTAATAATCTAATGATCTGAATTGTATATGATTAAAATAACTATGGTGTGAAACAATTACATAACAAATAGAATCATCTCGATTATTCTCACTTTTTTATTTCAAAAGACACTCGCAATAGTTAATTATAATACGTAATACAATAAAAATTACAATTCAACATAAATAATCAGAAATCGTAATTTTGAGCGCTATAGTTTTAAATTTCTAAGATAATAAAAAAAAACATAAATAAATTACAAAACCATTACCAGTTCTTTCCTAGTTAATATTTCATCATTACAATAGAAACGCAAAGTAATTGAAAGATTACTTAAAAAAACTTTAGAAAAAAATTTCAATCTGAAAGTACTCTCGACACAGCGAGATTTCAACTTGTTACGTGCTGTTTATAAATAGCTAGTCAATGTAAACAAACGCCGGTAAATTGTAACAAATGTTTGAAAAACCTCTTAAATCTACAAATTTTATTTGGTGGTTAGCTATAATAAAGATTTTATAATACAAATATCATGGTTATCTTGCCATCACATTATATTGTCGCCGCAACTAACATAATTTGCCTTACTTGCGGTCTCAGATATACTGAATGGTTAGTTAAGTAGTCCCTGTAAATCTCTCGTACAAGTCTATTCTAAAAAGATTTCTTTAGTCATCCCTTATTACGTGGTTTACAATTATCGTCTAATGATATATGCAAAAGTTTGGGTGGATAAATGTTTGTTAACTAGGAATCTCTAAAACAACTTTACGAATATCAATGATATTTGGATATAGAAAAGTCAGGAAGAACTCATAGGCTACTCAATTCTTTTTTAATTTCGTAAGAGGAGATAAAAGTAGTAACTTTGTTAAAGGACTATTTGAATATCCAATTCTTACAAAACAGGCGATGTGTTTTGTACTGTTATTCCGTCAGTGTAAGCCAACTGTTAAAGACAATTGAACTGCATTACAGATGTTATTTAGAACAAATAGTCAAGTGGCGAGCCTAGAATCTAGGCGGTCAAGTTACGGTTTATTGTCACATCTCACTTTCCAAAGTCATCGGTGCACGTTATCTCGGATTACATACGGAAGTCCCGATTTAAGGCGTCAACGTCGAACACACTTGTTACATAACATTGTTTCTAAATGTCTACTACTATATAAAAAAAAAAAAACAAATTATTTGTTAGGACATTGACTTTAGGAAAGAGTGATTGTTTATAAAAAACATATTTATGTACGTAAAATTTGCTATTGATTATTTTTAATTTCGAAAGGTAATATTAGCAGATATATTTAATTAGAGCATAATTATTTTCGATCTGTATGCTTTGTTGGATATTGGGTACTTTTTAAACTATTCAATTATTGTGCATGCTAAAAAAGTTTACCATAGAGAAATTTATTCTTTGTGTAATTAAAAAAAAATGGCCGCCATTTTTGGTCACGTAACAAAATGGATGACGTAGCAGATGTCGGTACGATCGAAATAACAGGTCATTGATCCGACGACCTTCGAAACAACGCAATTATATTTCCAAAACTTGCTTAATCCTATGAATATTTTTATAACTAATTTAGAATCTTCTTTAAATCTAAAATCACATAATTTCTTAAACATTACAGGTGAAAACACTTTTACAATTTTACAAACATTAGCTGATTCAGTAATCCTTGTAAGTAGGTCGTTTCTTATTTAAGATCATAGTAACATAACATAACTATACAAAATACAGACTTTATGCAAATATAGCACAAAATTACCTACACATTAAGACATGGCAGAAGATACAATGTCCAGTAGTCAGCTTAATACATGATGCATAAATAGAAATTAACTTACTTGAAACAGAGTCAGATGTTGCTGGAGTTGAAGTATTGTGTTTACTTCCTCTTCCCTTTCTAGACTTTTTACTTGAGGACATAGCACTCAATGCATAATCACTGTCACCTTCTGCTTCAATTTCAAGACCAAAATCATCATCCTAAAATGAAAAATAATTTAATAGAACCAATAACACTAGGAAACTAAAAAACTCATTAACAATTTTGAACAATGTTTTTTTATAGATATTAAAAGTAAAAGAATTAAATAGATTATGGTGCTAACCTCTTCGCTTTCATTTTTACGCTTCTTCTTCTTCTTTCTCCCCTTTTTTTCTTCACCTCTAGCCTTTCGCTTTTTACCTTTCTTCTTTTTTCTACCATCTTCTGGTGAATAATCATCATCCTCCTAATAAACATAACAAATGTAATAGGAATTTGTGTATAGACTATGTTTATAAGTTGTAAAATAGTATCTAATATTAGACTCACCTTCAGGTCTTTATCACAATGAGGTTGCTAATGGTGTTTTTTAATAAAAAAATAAAGATTAAAGCAATGTAAATCACAAACAAATTACAAAAAAACAATATATAATATTATTTACAATGTCTATGTCAGCATAAGCCAATCTTATAAACAACTTTTATAAATAAAAACAATAAAGAAATGATTTAATTGTATTTACCTTTGGTGGGGCTTCATCACTCTCACCAGAGTTTTCATTTTGACCCTCACCTTCTTCTACATCTTCGTCGCCTGCAACAAAAATTTGCACTTAAGTGGTCAAACCACTAACCACATGGTTTACACCTGCCAATCTCATGAGGATCCATGGTTTTTCTTATAGCACGCGCAATGCTAGCGTTAAGGTCACTAATCCCTTTGTTTGGCGTCGTCCATTTTGTTAAGTATAGTAATGAGGGGTAATGCATGTTCTTTTCTGTCACGAACTGCCACATAAAAATATTTACACCCCAACGACAACAAACTCGCCATTATACCAATATAACTTGTCTTTTAACACTGCACTGCTCGTATATGACTATATTGTTTCACACACAGCACCATCGAACCCAAAATCTCCGTATATTTAATTGCTTGCCGCAAGTAAACATATGATACCGCTATTCGCGGCTTACCTATGACATGCTAGTAACGAAATCAAACGTTTACCTGCGAAAGAACCATCAACTTCATCGTCTGATGCCATTTAGATTAAAATTTAACACAATCTAAACACAAATAAATGAATTTAATATAGTAAAGATAAAGGACGCGCAGTTTTTGCGACAAATGGTAATTAATTCAGAAATTGATGCCGCCGTCACAACGATGAACGAACTAGCATGGATGAAATAGCAAGATATGTTTTCTCATTCTAACACGCGTTGAAAAAAAAAGAAATTTTTGGGATACCACATCATAAAAAAATTAAAGTCCCAGTATTTCGGTAAATATTTTATAATCTAAGTGCAACACAGTAATGTTTTTCACTCGCATGTACAGTAATTAATGCATGTAAATTCCATTGTCACCCGTTGCAACTTTAACCGTTTCACCGATTTAGATGCGTGAGGTGCCATTCAATAAATATTTCAACCTGGAGTGTTTCTGGGCTATAGTCAATCGAGTTTATTTTTCTTTTTAATTTTACAGGGATTCTTATTGCCGCCTATTAAAGTACATAGAGTACATTTTTTCATTTGAAAACTTCACATTGATGTATTGGAAATTTTAATTTAAATATGGCAGCCTAGGTCAAATGTTGCCATTGACAATTTTTGAATTTCTTTTTCTTATCTGTCTCACATTGATAATCTTTAATTTTCTATTTCTCTATGATTAATTGATTAATATTGGATCTCTATGACAAGTGGCAATGGCGCATTTTTCTTCCTACGATTTTACGATTACGATTGTATTTGTTTTGTAATTGTGCATCTGTTATTTGTTACATTAGTAAGATAACAATCTTGGTGTTATTTTTATAGTTATATTCAATGAACATCGTAATTCAACTGTATAAAACTGGTTATCTGAAAACAATTTGAATTAGATTTCCCGTTATTGATTTGCCGGCAAACCTTTAAGTTTTAAATTGTTCTAATGAATTCACTATTAGATTACGGATCTTCATCATCAAGTGATACTGAGGAAGATGAAACTGTGGATGAAGAAAAGTAAGAGTATAATTGAGAAATTGTATGTTGTTGCGTTAATCTATTTGGAAAGAAAGATGATTAACCTATTGTTTCCTATAATTTCAGACAGAATAAGGATGAATCAAAACCAAAACTCCCTAAACCGACCCTCGGTGAAAATAGCCTTCAAACTTCAGTTTTCTCTAATCCATTTGCTCAGGCCGAGTTAGCTAAAGCAGCCATACTGGAAAAGCATGTGAAAATGGTATATGTTGAGTTTCAATTACTAAATTGATCTAATAGTTTACGTTCCCACAAATTTCAGTATTCCTTATATGTTGAGAAACAAAAGAATCAATGATATTTTATTGATTCTTTGATTTGGCTTTCTAAAAAACCTAATCTAAACATCAATATCCCAAGGGAATAGGACACAACAAACCATCATTTGGCTCGATCCTGACACACATTTCTCTTCTACATCCATATATGTCTACATACCAATTGGATTTAATTCTTGTTACATACCCATTGGCTTTAATTCTGTTTTTTGTTTTGTACACTTAATAAAAATAGGAAAAGTTTATATAGAATTTTACATATAATCGTCAAGTACATAGTCAGTGACTGTAAGATTCCAGGTAAAGACAATATGCAGATGATAAATGGAAGGAAGATCTGCTGGAACTACAGAAAGGGTCGTTGTCGTTTTGGACACAACTGCAAGTATGGACATGATTCTGACATACTAAAAACAGATGAAGAACTTAAAGCAGAGAAACAGGTAAGAAATATCTCAAGATGGTTTATTAATACCGTTACCCAATAGATGACAGGAATCTACATTGATATTTCCTCATATAATTAGTAAAATCATCAGATTATTCTTAAGAGTTCTTTTTTTAATTCAAAGTTGGCAAAATGAATTTAATAGAAAAGAAATGTTATTAAATAAGGTCATTGCTGCCATTTGCATACATTTTCATAAACTACCACACAATTAAATAAGATCTTGAATTGTATTACAGAAATTAAAAACTGTAGTATGCGAAGGTGCTGGAACAATGTCGTCAGCTCCACCACCACAAGTTGTTATTGAGTCAACTGATGACGATGTTTGGGAAGGAGGAGTGGCTAAAAAGAAGAAGCGACCGGGATTAACAACTGGCCTGGTACCAGGGAAAAAGGTTATTAAGATGTATAAAGAACAAAAACTGAAAGATGCAATAAAAAAGCAATAAAGCCATACATATTGCAATCAAATTGATGTATTATCACAATTATCAACTTTGAGTAGAACCCAATAGGTTTTTCCCATATTGTTAATCTTCTACTTCCAGAACTTTCTCTTACCTTACCATAATAGTTATGATTATCACAATATTCCAAATATGAATAAGTGTTTCCTGCATTCCTTTACTATAGCCCACTCGATATGTTCAGTTAAAACTGCATGTGTGTTCAATATTGTCAGTTGAACTGCACAGTTAATTATGCCCACAAATGCATATTTTTACTGAACAGTTTAGAGTGTATGTAAGAGGCTGTATGTTAAATATCTTAATATTTAAGTAATATTAATTACTTTAACTAAGGTTATAGTGATCCTTATTGTAACTCTTAAAGAATTCTATAAATATGTACCTGTAGTATTCTTCCATGTGATTTTAATGTTTGTAAGTCCATAAAATATAAAAATTAACAACAAATATGTGTTTGTTTTTCTCATTATATTTGAAGTTTTCTAGCTAATATAAATAAAAGTCCAGAATATCATTGCATGTATTTTTTATTAGGAAACGACGCGGAAAACATGCAGCAGTTTAAAATCTTTAACCCAAAAGGCTTTTAATGGCACTATGTTGTGTTGTTCACTAATACATTGAACATATAAATTGCAAAATCTTATATGATTAGCAATTGATGAGTTCTTTCAAAAATACGACAGGGAATTGAGAGTTTACTAATTAAGACAATTGAACAAGAAATGAAGGGTTTTCCTTTTTTTAGTACACAACATTTTGCCACTTTAATGGTTGCATTAAATGACATTTTAAAAGGATTTGCCTCTAAAATTTACTACAAAGGTACTGATATCACTACATTAAGCACAGCCATTAAAATTATGTCCGAGGATAAAACTGAACCTGCGGATATTGAATAGAAAGAGATACGAAATATATTCAGAAGTCTGTCCAGCAGATAACTATGGAACAGTCTTCATATTGCTGTGCTAACAATATTAATTTCATTGATGCATTAAAAATAGTGATAAATTGCACTGATATAGTTTTAAATAGAAAGTCCTTTATATACAGAAATAAACAATTAAAATGATTAAATAAATAGCAATGATAAAAATTAAAATAAGTACATTCAAAATCATATTTATTTGCAGTCACAAAATTCATTTTTAGGTATGTAGACATTTTTTAAGCGAAAAGTTTTGTTGCACTACAAGTTGCTTAAAACAAACGGAGACTACATTCACTATGACGATACAACATCAAGATCTTTAAATTTTTATTTCTAATTCATGAAATCGATTGGCCTCAGCTAGCAATAAATATATTTTAAGAATAAAAACTCCATGGAGAGCATATCTTTTACCAACTTATACATAAAAATCATTGTTAAATTCATCTATTATTCTAGTTTCAATGCAACAACGCTTATTTAAAAATTATTGCGTTTATTAAGTACTATGACAGGTATGCGAAATACATTCAATACTGTGTAAAGGCACAAACAATATAAACGAGTTTACATCTCGATATTGAAATTATTTTGCAAGGCGCAGTGTTTTATACATAATAATTCAGGATAAATATAAAAATAGATTTCATTTGACTTTTATAAAAATTACACAAATACAAATTGCATAAAACTGATCAAATTGCAACGGCGGTAACGTAGTCATTTACTAGACACGAATTTTTTACTTTATTTAACCTTAACTTCTATGAAATTTTCATGTGTATATTGAAACATTATAAAGAGGAATTTTATAAAGTAATTCTAGAATACATTTAGTAGTGTTTAAGTCTTAAGAGCGACTTTCTTGGGTATCTTTGGTGTTCTCATATCACCGTGACTCTTGAAGTTGGCGAGCTCCGAGTCATGAGCTTTGCCGTTCATCACCAGCCCATTGGAGAGGAGGCCGTGGGGGGCGTGCCCGTTCCTCTTGTGGTGGCCGTTCATCTTGCCCTCGTAGCCGTTCACCTTTTCAGCGTGGCCGTTGACTTTATCGCCACCGAAGCCGTTCATCTTATCGCTATGGCAAATAAATTTGTCACCGGCGTGACCATTCATACTCCACTTAGCTTGTCCTGATAAACCAAAACAAAAATATAAAATACGCCCATTCATTTAAAATATCCATTTAAACACTGGCAAAATTGTGTTTTACATAATAAACTTCCAAAAATATATCGTTCCTTGGCATCGGTTAGTCAGTGATAAAGGAATCATCGGAGGTGACAAAATCAGTGCTCTCTGGGGCCGCACTGAAGGCCTTGGTATCTGCAAAACGACGTGTCGCTTAGTGCCGGAGCCGCGGCCGCTACACAACTCTAGCAACACAACGCTAACAAACACCGAGCAACTTCTACTTACAGTACTAACAGGGCCACATTGAATCTATATAAGGAAGATCTATTATAACTAATACACAATTACGCCAGTGTTCATATGACATGCACAAATAATGCATTGTACAAATATGTCAATTGTTCATATATGCGTGAACATGAGTGTATGAATATAAAAGCAAATTAAATGATAGCGTCGCATCAAAATATGACTGAAACTTTATGTAATTATATTTACTTGGTAATATAAAGTATTTTTTACTATATATTGTTAATTAAATCGAATTTTCTTTGTTATGATGATTGCAAATAAAAAATAGAATGGATCCGTTTTCTTAGCATGTTTAAACAAAATCCCATTATTTACATAAAATTTCTTTTATGTCTGTATATTTTAATGACATTAAAATTAATAAGATTAGCATGCAAGGAATACGATACTTGTGCGATTATGAAAATGATTGCCTTCCAAGTATAGTATTATTTCAATTAATTAAATTATACGATAATTGGAAGTAAATAAAGGATATGTGAAAACACAATACTTGCCATTCTGATCGTTGCCAGAGTAATACTTTTTTGAAGTTTTCCAATCTTCTTTTAGCGATAAATTATACATAGAGTAAGCAGGGTCGCCGGTCACCTCCTTTTCTATAGTTAGGAACTTGGGCAATGATTCTAAAAGCGCGTCTTGATCGTACGCCGCGCTGTATGTCTCAAGTAACACCAATCCACGACACCTGAAAGTTTTAAAGTAACTTTTTTAATACAAATATGTTTATAAAGTTACGCCCGCGACTCCGTCTGCGTGAAATTAAAAACAAAAGTAAGGAGCCTATGTATTCTTCCAGAATATCTACATTTACGGCTAATTTAATGTAGATCCCTTCAGTAGTTTAGGTTACAAACTCTAACAAACATCCATCAAACTAAAGTTTAGCATTTATAATATTAATAACATTTAACAATCCTAAAATTCCTTATTTAGTGATACCAGTATAACATTGGTTTTAGAATTTAATGTAATTTTTTCCACTATCGTAAAATAATATAATTAAAATGAACATATCAGCTACTAACTACGCTCTCATTATATCAATTGTTTTTCAATCTAAAATTGTCATAAAAAAAAAACAAACTAGTGCATGTGTTAACCTGGGATGCGTGGGCTGCCTGTAGATGTCCAGCTGGTAGTACTGATTGTTGTATATGAAGCAGCGACGTTTCTTGAATATAGTGAAGTGGGCATCATCTCGCTGCGGCAGCTGGTTCAGGTAGTCGCGGTGCGTCAACTGCGTCCGTACTTCCACAGACTGCCCATTGCTCGGGTGGAACTTCCTCACCGTGTGGATGTACGACCAGTGGCCCTTCTGACCACGCTTGCGCAACCTCACCTGCGCCTTACGGAAGTCGCTCTGCAAGTAATTATGCACCACATCGAAGTCCTGGAACGGAGGGAACTCCGTATCCGGTGGTAATGGCGTCTTGACGAGGAACTTGCGCTTCTTAGAGTTAACGTTAAGTCGATCGCCAGTATCGATACCGATACGTTGACACACGCAAGCAATGAGTCGGTTCATCTTCTTATCGAAGTCTGTTGAGTTGTCAATGACGTCGAAGTACGGATGACCGACCCAAGCCGCGGCCGCGTTGTAGTCCAGTTCCCGCGCTAACTCCACGCCTTCAGATCGGCACGCGTGGTCCTGAATGTACATCAGAATAACAATATTATTGTGTGATCATTTGACATTGCGGCATTTAATACCAATTTACTTAGATACTGCATAGTGTGATATGTGTAATGTATTTATAATTGCTTTATGCATATATAAATGACAAATGCGTAGTTTATGCAATATGTGTCTATAACAACAGTAGATTGATATTGAAGGTCGATCAGATGATTATTTTATGCAGTCACATGGGGAGTGATTCAATAATATCAAACCATTATCAATTACGAATTATATCAACATTGGTATAAACACTATCAGTAAAATGTTCTAATGTTTTTTGCATTTACTTTTCACATAAAAATATTGACTCTAGCGTCACAAAAACCAAAATAGCATATCTTACATTGTTTATGTAGATTATGATAAAACGTGATCTACATTATGAATTTCATAACATAATCCTTGATATAGACATCGCGTTATCTCGGACAGTCCGTCATATTGCGCATGGCAAATGTCCAGATGCGATACATCACTGTCATCAGTAGCATTGACGGCAAGTCATGCCACTGAATATCATATCACATAAATTGAATTACGAACGAAAGACATGGTAAATGTTTACATGGGGTCACGCGGCAAAACATGAGCTTCGCATTTATGAATCAATACATTATATTGTGCAAATAGAGATTAACATGTTTCAGAATGACATAAATGTGACAAACTGAATCACTACCATACTCAATGATTTGGCAATTGCAATTGAAGAAACGACTTTCGATTCTGAACAATTAAAAATATTTTTTAAGCTAGTACTTTTTATGTTTCGATATTTTTAGATATAAGTAAAGTACAATGTAAAGGCTATCTTGTTTTTAATCAAAATTTTCCGAGTTTAATTTGTTGATTATAAAAGGAATTCCCGCGTATGAATCAAATGAGTCATTGGCACATGTAAATATTTTTATACATGCAAGTCTCAGTTAACTATTCTGGTGGGCTTGACTTTATTAGACGAACAAAAAAATCAAAATATAATATCCTCTATATTACATTTTGATTTTTTTTTCTTTGTTGCCCTTACCTCGGTGGAATAAAAGTCCTCCGCACCATTCGCAGCGGATACCATATGAACAATTTGATTATATCGGTTGTCGCGCAGTTCAACGCTGTTCCAGTTATTGGCGTTCAACATCTCCTCCCACTTCTCCTTGGAAATAACTGCAATGGATAACAAAATTTGTCAGAAATCACGTGATTTTTGTCGATTATTAGTCACATGATGCTGCAGCGGACGGAAACGTAATTTCAAATAATGTCATTATATCAGAATAAGCTTAACTCGTACGAACACAAATCGCGTCATCGCAGTAATTATGTAAGGCCATAAAACTGAGCAATACACTATGGAATTCGAGATTGCATATCGAAATATACACTTGCATTTTCCTCCTTTCATTAATACCTAACAAAAGTTAGCCCCCGTTAGACACAGTATGGTCTTGTCAGAATACATAATGTAAACTACTCGAGCAGGGGTTACTTCGCTATTACGACGAACTCAGGTGACCGATGCTCGTTTGACGCCTTATAACATAAAACAAAAAAAAATTATGTTCATGAAGTCCATCAATTCTTACACGGTTTTTATCTTCAAATTCAATGTCGAAATATAATTCAAATACAATTTCTACTGGAAATATATTCACGTGAAACATTACATATTCGCTATCATTGATTGATAGCATCTCTTTACTGACAACAACAAAACTTTCAGTCGCATTATTTTGAAAGTGACCGAAAACATTACGTCGTTGGCGCCAGACGACCGACCTTTCCTACTGCCAACCTACATATAAATTTGATAGACACTGAAAAGACCAGACACTATGCTCTATAAAGATAAGGTCGAAGATCGTTCAACTAGAAGATACTGCGGATGTTGATGTAAAGCCTCCATTGCAGGGTATTGACCTTCTTTTCAAATGCGTATTATCTCTATAAGAGTATACTTGACCCTAGCATTGTTTTATAGTTACGGTAAATAAAGTAGTTTATAATCCGTTTAATAACTTACATGCACTAGCGTCCATGGCGCCACGATCACAGATTATGAGGCAGTTCCTCTGGCAAGTCCTCCCCAACTCAAAAAACGTATTCTCAATCTGTATCATAGTTTTCAATAGGTTTTCTTGGAATTTCACCGCTGTAACAATAAAAACAACATGTCATTACAAAAGAATTAAAATAAAAAAGTCATTAAGGTTAGGATAAACACACAACTTTGGCGGCAAATTAAGGTTCTTTGGTCCCGTCGACTACGACAAACATAGATTACAAGATGTCAAAAGGTCGTTTTTACTGTCGATCAGGTCACATGATACAGTCGGACTTTATTTTCTAGAACAATATCCAGCAATTTGCTTATTTGAAACCCCGCCAACGAGCAGCCAAAACAAACACGGCTAAGGTTGACTACAGACGGCCGGAAGGCGGTGTCATTGACAATGGCGACGCGTTATGTTCCGAGCTCTTGTTACGGATTGTGTTCGGAGAAGTTGCGAACAAACAAATGGTTTTGGTGTGAAAGATACGACAAGATTTCAATGGAAATTTGTGATATTTAATTTAGCAAAGTAATCCTTGCGAATTGTGCGACTAACACAGTGGTATCGTACGCATAATTACGCCTAAATTACAATATTTAGGGTGGACAACTATTTCAAATACGGAAGTGTTACATAGCATTTTGATATTCTCAAAATTCATTCAAAGTAACGAGTATTTTAAATGATAGAGTAACTGTGATAAAGGCCCAACTGTTATTATTTACATAACCTTCTTTCGTGCCAGTCACGTCCAATCGGTTGCGAATTATAAACGTTAGTTGTCTGTACTAGATATATCCAGATTCAGCAAAAGCCGACACTATATTTAATTGGAAGAGACATAAGATATACTTTGTAATAACATTGAATATCAAAAGAAATTATTTATATGCATATTACAGAGGGAACATAATATGTTGGGAATTCAAACAGTACATGCTAATAGATAATACATATCGAGTTAGAACATATTTACTTAGAAACATACAAAGAATGACGTTAACCATCCATCAATCTATACATATAATAAAATTAGAGTGTTTGTATATTAAAAAAATCAGATTTCGGGAAGATGATGTATTAGCGTTGCTGATAACTAAAATCGCATTTAAAAACATTTTGTCTGTCTGCAAGTCGCGTTTGTTCCGGTCAGTCTCCGAAACGGCCGGGCCGATTTCGAACGGACTTTCATTGGAGGGTAGTTGGCATAGTCGGACATATTATAGGCTACTTTTTCATCTTAATATTGCGAGGATGGAGTCGCAAGCAACAGCTAGTGTACTGTAAATATTACTTTATCACGTGGAGAGCAAGAAAATTATCACTTACATTGTACAATAATGTGCGCATTATACATGTCTACAACGGATAGTTTTAACTTTACACATTGTTGCTAATCGCCATTATAGCAAGCTCTAGATAATCGTTAAAAGAACAGTCTCCTTGTCTCTTTATCTACAATTTTATACTCGTTAAGAGAATATAAACGTTGTTACATATTCACGAGTTAAATCTAATGTTTATAATAGCCTTTGCCATTTTTATAATAATTCTGTCGACATTTATTTATCCCTTATGTAACATTAAAGTACAAAACTCATGAGTGAAAATTATTCATTTGAACTTTTTATTTACATTGAAACAGCTACTTTTAGGTCACGTTTAATAAAATATTGTAAAAGAGATTAAAGTTTTTGTTATTAAAGTGATATGATTTGTCCAATCATGATTTCTAATAAGTATGACAATGAACTTTTAACGGTAACCTTATACTGCTAAGTAGTTTGAAAACTGTATAAGAGGAAAGCTAAGTCACAATTTTTCGTCTTAAATTACAAGAGAAATAAAGTCCTTGGACAATATAATTAAAGATATAACTTTTGACTATTTTAAAGAGCAATAAACTTCTAAAAGGCCATTCATTGTGTTAATAAAAATAATTTGGTAAACGTGGCAAAAGTATTTGACTAAAACATTTGGCAGAACGTCAGAGCGAAAAATCAGCGTTAGTTTTTCATTCGAGAGAAACGAATTACCACCTAATAATGTAATGTATAACTTTTGTTACGTAGACTTTAAGAGCGCGCACACACTGTTACTATCGCACAACTGTTTAGTCGCGCTTTAATTTCTATGAGTTCATATGGAGACGCGCGTACAACTCGATTTTTAATTGTGCAACTAAACAGTTGAATGGGCTGCAAAACAATCGACAATCGCACAACAGTGTGAGATAGATTAGTCGAAGGTGTGTGCCCCCCGCTTGTGTTTTATTTCATTTTATTATAAAGGTAAATTAACTTGTATGGGAGATGACGTCGAATTGATCGACCAGTATTAACGAGTTTTCGAGTTCCCTAAACAAAGTTATCTCTGACGTGGCGATTGTAAAATTATTTAGGGCACAGCTTTATTTTACAGCTGTTCAAAAATATGGATGATTTTATGACAAAATTTTGTATAGTCATTATACAGCCGTTTCAAAAAACATTTGGATGTAAACTCAGGCTAGACTCAAGAAGCAACTAAAGTTGTTTATAACTTGACCTCGATTTTCATATTTTATTGAAATACAATTTCGCCTGTCTATTAAATATGAACAGTATCGCTGTCAAAGTATTTATTGTAATAAGACACTGTAAAACGATACGTTTTCATATATAATATCGCAATAGTTTTAATGTCAAGTTGTATCAGCAAATCCAGTACAATATTAAAAAATGGTAAAAATGCGGTCATTTGCTTTAACAATACAGATAATGCAAGGTTAAAACAGTTTAAACAATAATTCTTTCTAAATCAAGTTATTCTTTAAATGATCATCACAATTTCAAGAAATTAAATCAAAGCCGAACAGAGAAAGAACGATACAATAACGATTAGCAGTTGCTCGTGACTTTGTCCGCGCAATATAAATAAAAGCCTATGTTACTCACAGATGAAGAATTACCTTTCTAACGGTGAAAAAATATTTACAATCAGCCCATTAGTTTTTGAATTATTTAAATACATACGAAAATAAAAATCTTTCCTCTTTATGATTATTACTAAGATTAAGATATAAAATGAATCTTATTTTACAGTCGGGAGATAAAACCACATCACAAAAAACGTTTTGAAATAAAAGATTTTTTAAAAAGGAATAAAAAATCATACTTCCTGTTTTGTCGGACAAAAAGACAATTGACTTTTTATTAAACAGAAGAAAAGGGGAAGATTATCCCAAGCAGGTACTGCAATGTATTGAGAAACTAAAACGATATAAGAATCGCAAAAACTATTTATCGGAACTCTTTTTCAGACCTGCTTTTTATACTTTTTTTTTTTTCGTTTTTACTTCCTAGAGGAAAAGATAACAAATACTCATTCTTGTGACATTTTTTATTTATTCAAATAAAATGAGAACCATTTTTTGGTTTTAAAAAAATTGAAAAAGTATTTAAAACACTACATCTTACGTCATTTGTCTAATATGGGTTAAACTCATTATTATATATTGCATAATAGACAGATAGTGTGATGTATCGAATGAGTTACCGTGAACTTGATATGAAACATTATTGCGCGTGTGACGTAACTACAATACACATACTTGTTTTGTCGATACCAAGAATACAATCTTGTAAGATTTTAATCAGATAAAAAACAAAAATAAGTAGCTAAAACACAAAAAGCCAAGGTATTGTTTTACTGCTCCTTATAAGGGTAGAATTCCACTAGCTAAAAACTTCAAAAAATTCTAATTATCTTTGACCAAATTTAAACCAGATCATTCAATTTCAAAATCGATAATAGGCGTAACGTAAAAGTTATTATAATTTCCTAGAAGTAGACGTAAAGAAAACTAAACAAAAACTAAATATCGTGAGTACAGAAACGACAGTCCTTGACTTCGTTTTATAACAAAAACATCTGGAAAATCGATTTACATAATTGAACCGAGACAATACATGATTTTAATCATAATCAGTATAATTTATTAAGAAGTATTAAAATGTTTTAATTCAATTCTAACCGCGAAAACAATTTACAACAAGGAATTATTTAGTTACATAATGAAATACAAGAATTCCAATTATGAATATTTCCAATTATGTTTTCGTTATCATTGACCATAAACACGCACTTACTATATCTGACTAATATTATAAATGCGAAAGTTTAGATGAATGGATGTTCGTTAGAGTTTGTCGCTTAAATTGCTGAACGGATGTCGATAAAATCTGGCATAAATGTAGACCAAAGATGGAAGAACACATAGGCTGCTTTTGTTTTTTTAATACTACGCTGACGGAGTCGCAGGCAAAAGCTAATATAATACATTTTACAATTCATACGCAAGAAAACAATGCTCGTCATTGTCGTTAACAAGGGCCTATTCAGTGTTACGCAATACAATCTTATGTAGTATGGAGTACTATCTACGTCGTATAAACAATACTAACACAATCATTTAAGAATGTTCCAGAATGCGTGGTACTCAATTTCAGCACGGATTTACGAATCTTTACAATAAATGAAACTATCAAGTTTCTTTCAAAATTTAAACAATGGTTTTAGAAAGAAACCCAACAATAAAAATTTAAATTTTCTTACTGATATAAACTTTATAATGAGTTTAAATACAGATTGCAGTTCTATTAAATCTATAAAGTCACTCTAGTAGTAAAACAAACCCTTAATTTTACAAGTTCATCGACACGAGACAAAAATAATTCGCGCTCCCAGAATACTTACGTTTCACTCAATTACTCTAAATGGCAGTACATTTACGAGATATATAGCTGGAGTAAAACCCATTTAGCGTAATTGAGTTTGTTAAGGTTAAAGAGATTACTTTCTAACCAAGGTCGTGATGTACATAAGCACGTTACATAGGTATTGCAGTATACACATGATTGTAGAACATTGTTTCTAAAGATATCGTTATCTTCAAGAACGATAAAATTAATAATGACTACATTTTGTTTCTTGTAAAGAGTACAGCTAATAGAACAACAGCCAAATACTGAGACGACATTTGAATACGTAACAGCAGTCATAAAACTCAATTTCCATTAATAACTTGATGCACGTCAGGTTATAGCGGTTCTTACTA